TATATTTTCTATGTTTAGTTATTTTCACCATTACAGACTCCATTATTTCTTCGACTACTGTACTAATACAGCCTATGAATTTACCCACGTGCTGCACGGATGTTAGAATTCGAACTAATGTACACTCGTGACTTATTTATTTGTTTAAATTATAATTGATTCGAACTCAAAGTGTTCAGTAGAAGTATTTCCGTTTCTCACTTATAGTTGGCAAGTTTCCCGTGTATCCGTTATACAATGTAGAACTTGACAGCGCTCTGTTGTAATAGTGACTAGTGCTCAAGTAAGTAAACTAAACTAAAAGGAAAGACACTTGGGCGGATCTTATGGTATCGATAGCAACCGATGGTTAGAGATTGAATGACATGGCTCAAGATCGTTTGCAATGGTGCAGGTGCATCCACTCTTCTAATCTTCTGAATTCTTCATGTCCCTTTTTTCTCTTTCCAAATTTATGTCACTGGATTATACTCCTTGAATAATATCTTCAAACCCTAATCTTCCCGTTTACTGCTTATACTTTTACTACCTCTACCATTATGGGATTTGAAACGACAATTGTATTTGTGCTAATGTGATACGGCAATTTAAACTGATGTACGTACGTACGGCGTTCTACGTTGTTGCTGACTGACTGGTACCCTACGTCTGACTCAATGATCTCAAAATACGAGATCAATGGTCTGAAGACATCCATAGTCGAATACTATTACCTTACAAACATCCTTTATTCTTAACGAACATCCCTTACATCCATAAAGCAGAACAAAGCACACTACTGCACAGTAAACTTGTCCTTTGGTTACCAGAACTATTCTCGTCTACCCCACAGGTAACGCAAATCAGTAAAAACCAACCGAATTTTTTGGATTCGTGTCAAGATTTCATTAAACGCCAAGGATAGTGTTTTATTTGTAGGATTTGAACTATTTTACTGAGTAAGTAGTTGATTTGTCCCAGTGAAGATCAGCTCAAATCTTACTAATATACTCAAGTTAAACCTGTGTGACACTAGTGACAGTCCTAATAGAAATTAGGAACTGAGAACATTTAAAGAGAAAAAACAAAAGACTTAATTGATTGCATATTGTCCAGTAATAAGTTTATCACATAACGCTTCACTGTCCTGCTTGACGTAAATGAATCTTGATGGATGGAGTTCAGTTTTTCTCCACTTTATTACTACAGGCCTACTAAACGTACGGACACCTACTTTTGCCCATGGTGTGGACATGCTAGTCTACGTCGGATTCCAGTTACTTTACACGAAGATGGCCAGTTAGAATTTCACTTTGCGAAAAGATTTATGCACAGACGGCGCGGTTTAAAAGTAAGTAGTATATACTAAATGTCATTTTGTTTTGTTCGTAGCAACCAGTAAGAATCCCAAAGGGTGGAAAGTATGCTGACGAACCAATTTATTGTGCAGACCAACGTATTCCTGACCGAAGACCAGCCCGTCCTAAAAATCCAAAAGTGCTTCCATTAGCTACTAACGGCTTATTAGGATTTGAAGATGAAGAACTATCCAATGTTTTGGAATTCCAATGTAATTTAAGCAATGTGGTGTTCCCATTAAATGACGTCACGAGTCGGTCTGCACTCTGTGGTATCCGATCTGATCATCAAATACCAAGCAGAAGCTATTTACAAGGTGTACATGCTGAGCATGGCCTTAAACCAACAAGAGGCAAGGCTCATATAGTTAGACCAAGAACAGGAAATAAGAAGAAACATAAATCTTAAATGTGATTTTCTTCATTGTATATTTCTAAAATATACATTATTTTATCAAAATATATATTTTTTTTCCTTGATTTTTCAATAATCAGATGCCTTGCTAGTGTATATAAAGTAGTTGTAGAAGGAACTAACCTTCGAACGACAACTAAACTCAAGTCTGCCAGCCAAAAAGTGCGATGTGTTGGAACCAGATTTAAAAATCAAGCACATCCTAATTTCTTTTGTCACCACTTACAAATCATTTATCATCAGATAAACCTTAATATGTTTTAACTACTTTCACACCTTACTGTCTTCGAAAACAGAACATGCCGTTTGTCGGCTAAGCAGTAGAGTCATGTAGTTTTATTAGCCTATAGTTTTGTATTAACAAACCTCTTTATTAAGGCTTCCATAGTAACACAAGAGGACATATCTACATAACCTGTTGGTTGTTTACACTCCTATTTTGTTGTTGGATAAGGAGATTCTTAAAGAATATCGTGTTAACACGCTCTAATTATCAGAAGTCACTTAGTAATATAGCCAAGCGAATTGATACGATGATAAGAGCGAATCTTAACTAAAAAAACACAAATAACAACAAGTAGCTGTTCCTTCGATTACCTTAAATCTCACTAAACCACAGAGATATCAGAAGACAACACCTAACATGTAAATGCAACAATTTATTATTAAGCAGAAGTACAAACGCATTTTTAACTAATCAAAAGTCCAATAGAAAAATGATTGAGTTTTTGCTGAATAATTAAGTGGTATAATGGATGATTGTTGGATAAGGTTATTCAGACCACATAACCCTATGATTTAATGAACACCACACAAAAATCCTTACTTCAATGACCAAAAACCCAAGACGTTAATTTTTAATCTACTATTATCAAACTTTAAATTAAACACCTTATGATAAAAATCGTCATACGCTTACTAAACCGATGTCGAAATGTGATTCCTGGGCTTCTAGTGATAAGTCGTGATTGATAGGGTTCAACTTCGTTGTACATGAAACAAATATTACCAATGGTAGTAGATGGCGGCCGCGTAGTATCGCGAATGGACTGACGGCAGAGATGTCAGTCATTGAATGACAACTCAGTAATCTCAAAGTTAAGCACTCGCCGCGAGGCTTAAGGATTGTATATTCGATCTGTGAAAGCGCATTACCAGAACGAAATAGCAGTTCAGTGATTATATAGGCACAACCAATTCTCTGTCATGTGAAACTTCGATATCAACAATTTCCACGACACCCTGTAATGATAATTTAGTCATTTCCTATCACTTTGGTGATACTCTTCTAGTTAAATTTAACAAAATCAGCCAAATAACTTGTGCCTATTGCTAGGTCAGTGGCCTTCAGAATTATTTGTTAATCTCAAGATTTTAAGCTGATTTCGGCCGTAAATAATTGGTTGTTGAAGTTACTATGGTGGATAGTTATCGTGTCATTACGAAAGTAATAATTGACATCTCAGGCCAATCAGAAGTCGGCTAAGTGTAAAGTGCACATGATTAACCAAGAAATGGCTTTCATTCTCATAGGATAGGACATGAATGGTGGCTTAATTTTACAAGGGAGATATATATGATTCTCAAAGTCGTGCATAGAGGACAGCTGACAGACGCATTCCAAGTAAGGACAAGGCCGTTTGTTCTCCTCGTTTCTGTTCTGGTGGTTGACTGGATTATGAAGACCTGGACATCTCAAGTAAATCACAGAATACAATGGACAGGTTGGATGCAACTATATGATTTGGACTTCGCAGATGACATAGCCGTTCTATCCCATACACCAACAAATGCATATGGAGCAGCAGCCTCTGTATCAGTAGGCATCAACATACACAAGGGAAAATCAACAAGTTCAAATACAACACAGAGAACACCAACCCAATCATACTTGATGGAGAAACTTTGGGAGAGGTGGAAACATTCACATACCTGGTCAGCAGCAGCATCCATGAACAAGAAGGACTCAATGTAGATGTGAAGGCAAGGATTGACAAAGCAAGGGCGGTACTCATACAGTTGAAGAACATATGAAACTCAAAAATACTTAACTAATATCACAGTCAGAATCTTCAATACGAATGACCGAGAGTGGGGTGGGTCCACCCTCCCTCTCGAAATGCTCTCACACGGACACGCGTATACAGCCTCTGCCAGGGAAGTCCTACTCACTACCTTCTCGTGGCGGGGGTGTTGTTTACGAAACTGAGAGCAGGAACAGCGAATGTCCGGTGCTTTAACCGGATTCCAAACCAATGGTGCACATGGGCTCCAGTATCCTACGGGAACAAATGGAGTATGAACCAATCGTTGGTCACCAGTTACCGTGGGACTGCATCTCCTCACGATGCTCCACTCCCTTGTGGGTCAGACCTTTAGGTCAAAGGCTCGGGGTAACGCCCCCTAAGAAAACCACCTGCTTCGGTTTAGGCACCCGGGCAGTATCATAGCCCTCACACAAATCGAATGATTTATGTGGCGCATATCTACTTGGTGCCTCCTTGTACCAATGTTTATGTGTTTAAATAAATAAATTCGAACGTCAAGACAGTTTTATTGTATGGAGCTGAAACTTGAAGAACTACCACAGCCATCATAAAAATGTGCAAGTATTTCTAAACAATTATTTGCGTAATATACTGAATGTGTGTTGACCGGATATAATCAGCAACAGCCTGCTGAAGTAAAGAACAAACCAGGTTCCAGCTGAGGAGGGAATAACACTGGAAGTGGATAGGACATATATAATGGTAATCACGAAGCAAACGTTAACTTGGAATCCTGAAGGGAAACGAAAAACAGGAAGGCCAAGGAACACTCCGCGTCGAGAATTGAAATCAAACATGAAAAGAATGAATAGCAACTGGATAGGATTGTCCAAGACAGAGATAAATGAAGAATGCTGATGGGCGACCTATGCTCCTTCACGACGGGTAAAAGGCGTCAGCAATATATCATTCGGTTTAATCAGTAAGCTTCCTTTCTCATTCACTCTCTATTTGAGTGACCAGTTGAGCTCGTATCAAGGCAAATTATGTATCAGTTTTAACTCTCTGGCATACCACATGTCACAACATTATTAGCATCAATTAATTTTGGAGACGAATAGACATGAAATCAAAGTATCTCGAATACCTGATTTCCGAGAATATCTCTTACTCATGCGTTTTTATTCCTTTGAGGACCATATACCAAAGGATACAGTTTTTAGCCAATTCTCCTGAAGCTAAGATGAACAATTCTAATCATTCTAGCAGTTATCATCTAATTCCTGTGATTTAAATACAACCAACACATCAGTTCTAACGTCACACTGAAATCAAAGTGCAATTATTTTAACTGTTAATAGGTGTTTCGAAAAAATAGTCAACTTCAATCAGAAAATAATGTTAAAAAACTCAGCATCCTTGTACAATTTGTAGAAATGAAATGAAAGTTACGATAAACCAAACCCACTTCTTGACAAAATAAACATAAATTAAGCGATGAATTCTTTTACGATACAAGAACTGTACATAGTGTTTTCCGAATAAATTATATCGCTGTGCCTCTTTCAAGGTTTTGCTTAATTTCAGCTGTATATTTCCCATAATGTCGGTCAAGTAACTCATTATATCGTTTGTTACGCTCATTAATATAGTCAATATCAGCATCGGCATCGAATGGACGTCTCCGACTGTAAGCTTTACGCTTGACACCTTGTTCAATTATTTGTTTAGCTAGACGCTCAACAGCTTCAGGTGTGTCTTTGCGATCTGTTAATCCTATCGTATCAGCAGTTGGAAAGGCTAAATCTCCTCTGAAGAAGAAAAACAAACGTTTGTGCTAGAATTAATAAACATAACATTACTAATCTAATCAATCATTATGTTCCTCTTTTTGTGAAAGTAAATCAGCAACGTTGAATTAAAGACGTAAGTGTTTAGCTTCAAGTTGTCACCAAATCGGCATAGCAAGATAAAAATGTCAAGACAAATGCTAGTGTAATAGAATTAACCAGCCGTATAAATAGTTGCAGAATAAAACAGCAACGAAATGCTTTATAACTTAGGATTTAAGGAATACCTGCATTAGTGAGACTGATTCTGAACCATGCCACCCAAATTTTTCAAACATTGGTCACAACAATAACGCAGACCCCGAACAGGCAGTCTGTATCTACTTACACAGTTCAGTACAATAGTCAACGACTTTGTGGACTGATGCCAGTTTTTGGTTTGACCGCCTCTAGCCTTCTTGGTATATCAGCAAACATTACACATCGAGTTAGGCAGTGGACGGACATACATAATACATGTACCTACCACCTTAGTTGAAGATTGACTGGCTTATCAGTCGGTTTGTCATTTTTATCTAATACCCTGTCCTAACCTCAGCACTACCGACTCTTATCCCAAGATACGCTTCGAAATGGCACAAGGAAACATTTGTATAACCTAGAAAACAGTGAATACTTTATGAGCAGTTTATTGTACAGGACTTAATCAACCATGATAAATATTCAGATGAGACAAGGTTTGATTGTTTTCCTTGAGGTTCTTTGATGCTAATGGTAATTATCATGACGTCGTAATTAACACAAGGACTAATTTGTAAAAATCTCACATAGTTAGGCGTAAGGGTGAGAAATTTTACTCCAGTAAATGATAAAAGTTAACAATCAGCATATGGAGTTAACTGTGAAATATCAGGAAGAAGCAAATGTGCAAATCAGTAGTTTATCATACAGTTAGTTATTGCAGTTAAATCTATTGACATTTTAAATTGTATACACCCAGTTATTGATTATTTGCAGTTATTATTAGGAGCCCAACCAGGTAGGTAATATTTATCAATGAGCTTCATGAACTGATGGCACGTTTTGGTTCGGTAGCCCCTATGTTCATTCTAGTCTAGTCATATACAACAGAGCATCACTCATCAAGGTAGGTGGTGGCTAGACATATATATGTTCTAACTATCTCAGTCACAATTTACAACCTCATCAACCGACTTTCCATCTTTACCTAGTATACTATGCCTTATATCAACATTGGTTACATGCTGGTCTAAAAATATATGAGTAACGCTTTCAAGATACCCATGATTAAGAACTTGGAGCCTACGCACACTTTCTACTTTCATACACCATGATTCACAGCCCATAAAATAGAACAGAACGAACTGTTGCGTAGTATAAATGCCCTTTGGTTGGTAGACGGATATCTCGTGTAAGAAAAGTGAAGAAAACTGGCAAACGCCAAACGGGCTATTCAAACATGTGCCAAGATTTTGTCAGACACCCACTCACCAAGGCTGATAAGACTTCCAAGATAAGTGAAGTGGTCGATGTATTTAGTTATTTTATTCCCCACCACTAGCTCAACAGTTAACCCAGACCAGTTTTGGAGAAACATTTTACACTTAGAATGAGAGAAGCGGATCTCCAAAATGTTAGCATTGTGGATCAAGGGTCATAGTTAAGAATGGCTTAACAGATATCGGGTAGTTATGTTTTCTACTATTTCTATTATCAAGACATTATATCACTCGGTTTATCTATGCGGTAGGATTGTTAAGATTAAAGACATTAGGATTGGGATAAAACGCAAGATTATTTTAGTTTAATGTGATATATATTTATTCTACTTCTAATTTAATATGAAATCTGTTTAGAACAATATTTTATTTGTTTTAGTATGATATTTATTCAGTATAATATTCTTTTATATTAACTTGGTGAAATATTTGTTCAGCCTAACATGCAGCATACCTTCGTATTGATTCTGCGTAAAATGTATTATATACTTCCTTTATTTCGTTTATATATTATATTTATTAACTAATCACCAATGCTAGTAAAATCGATTCAGACCTAAATAAATGTATTCGACTAGAGCGACCAAATTTTCAGACCAATAAAATCTTTATTCTCTCATTAGTTTTGTTTTTGCCCTATGTCGCGCAGAACTCAGTTTTCTTTCTGCTTTAAATAACAGGTTCCACAGTTATAAGAAATAAAAACGAAGATGGAATTTTCTTTTATTCGGGATATGGGAAATATGGATCCTCCATAGATTCCGTTTAAAATGTAATACGATAATATGAAGGGTAGTGATTGGAGCGGGATTCGAACTTTGTGGTTGAGTTTTGAACACCTTAACCTACGGATTTATGGTTCAATAAAAATAAATTTACAACATAATATAAAAATCCCAAACACACGTGTAACTTACAATTTTTCTTTCTCCTTTTGATAAGCAATCAAATCTGGTTTAATCTGTTTAGTCATTTTAAGATATTTACGATGTGATGCATCAGCGTATGTTGAAAATCCTTCATCTGTATTACATTTTTTTCTTCGTCTTATTTCAAGACGATCGGCTATCTCAGCACTAACATTTAATGCACGCATTCGATCTGGATCAATTTTTTGTTGATTACATTCCAATCTAAATAGTTCATCTTCTTCCTCCCATTGTAATCGTTTTTGTCGTACTTCCCAATTTGATGGAAGTTTTGATCGCTTATCCTCTTCAACAACTTGAACATGATTAGATTTCCTAGCCTCATTCTAAAAAAGAAAGACAAGAAACTCTCGAATTTGTTTTATCATAATAAACAATCACTGCAATCAATATTACACGTTAGTTCGGCAGTATAATAATTTGCAAACCCAATGCCATAAATATTGGCAAAACGTTATTTATTTCTCAGTAGTGATAGTGATTGAAATATGTTTTGACGGAGCGAATACTGTTGTAACGTTCGGAACTGTTTTACAGACTATTGTCGTTTACACGTTTATTATACATGTAACTGGGTTATTGTATGAATCTTCCACTCTGTTGGACCCACTAACTATTGTTATACGACATACTGTTCCTTACTTAATTACGCCCTGGTACGACCGAGAGTGGGGAGAGTCCGCTCTCCCTCTCGAAATGCTCTCACATGGCCACGCGTATATAGCCTCTGTCAGGGAAGTCCTACTCACTGCCTTCTCGTGGCGGGGGTGTTGTTTACGAAAATGAGAGGACGAAAAGCGAATGTCCGGTGTTTAACCGGATCCCAAACCAATGGTGCACATGGACTCCAGTATCCTACGGGAACAAATGGCGTATGAACCAATCGTTGGTCACCGGCTTCCATGGGACTGCATCTCCTTACGATGCTCCACTGCCTTGTGGATCAGACCCTCAGGTCGAAGGCTCGGGGTGTGGCCCCCTAAGAAAACCACCTGATTCGGTTTGGGCAGCCTGGCAGTATCACAGCCCTCACACATGTCGAATGAGATTTATGTGGCACATATGTATTTGGTGCCAATATCTATGTATTGGAATAAATAATAAATAGGCCACTCTAAAGCATTCTCCATCCAACCCTATCCCGCGGCAATCCTTTCCAGCTCGTTCCAGTCATTATTCATCCTTTTCATATCCACTTCTATTTCCCGACGTAATGTGTTCCTCGGCCTCCCTCTTTTCCGCTTCCCTTCACGATTCCAAGTTAGGGCTTGCCTCATGATGGTTTGGTGATTTCCGTAATGTACGTCCCATCCATTTCCATCGTCTTTTGCTAGTTTTCTCTTCAGCTGGAAGCTGATTGGATGGATGTTGAGTATCTTGCGTAGACAGCTATTTATAAATACTTGAACCTTCTTGATGGTGGTTGTAGTAGTTCTCCAGGTTTCAGCTTCGTACAGTAGAACTGTCTTGCATTTCGTATTGAAGAGTCTGGCTTTGATATAGGTTGACAGTTTTTTTGAGTTCCATATGTTCTTCAGTTGTAAGAATGGGGCCGTTGCTTTGCCTTTACGTCTGCATCTGATCTTCCTTGTTCATCGATGCTTCCCAGGTACGTGAAGAATTCCACATCTTCTTGAGTTTCGCCATCAAGTGTGGTTGGGTTGGTGTTCTCCGTGTTGTATTTTAGGATCTTGCTTTTTTCTTTATGTATGTCAAGGCTGCTGCGGCTACACTAGTTGTCTTCATCTGCATTTGTTCGTGTGTATGGGATAGAAGGGATACGTCATCTGCGAAATCCAAATCGTCTAATTGGTTCTGAGCTGTCCATTGTATGCCATGTTTTCCGCTAGATGTCGAGGTCTTCATAATCCAGTCGACCACCATAAGAAGGAAGGGGGAGAGTAGACAGCCTTGTCTGAAAACGCTAACCAGGAAAATATTGTTCCTTAAATATTATTAATTATTTATGAACCGTTTGATCCGATCTCGGCCATTTACGGAAAAATATGGATGAAATCCCCATACCTACGATTCATATGTATAAACTAATGTATTTAAGATAGATATGCCGAGTGCTTTAAATTTAATGATAAAAGATTACTTCCGGTGTTCTTATTCGAACTCAAGAAGTAGGGATAAATGCTTGTATTGACGGACCACTAACATTTAAAATTATGTTGTCACTGTACAAGGTTACTCTTGTTAGTTTACGTGTCCTATTGGTCAAGTTAAGTAATAAGGTCGTAGATGGACTAGAATACTCGGACTCAAAAATACCAATAAGAGTTTCAACTGCTGCATTTTTTCATGAGTTATAAACTACGAAGGTGCAGGCTCGGGAATGTCAAAAGACCTGACAAGTTTCAGCGTAGTTTGGCTTGTGTACATACTGTGATGTTTTAGAGTGACATTTCTTTTATTAAAATACAGTAAATAGATAGACTTACTACTTGAAAAGCTTCAAATTGTTGGTTATACACGATTGTCATATGACTGAATCTGACCTTAAAAATGACGAGTATATGACGATCGTTCTCATTAGTTTTAGTTAACCTAGTGTTACAATGTTCACAATCTAATTGAACTAAATACCAGTCTTTTGACAATTGATGTTTTGCTCAAATCGCTCTTATCAATTGGATACAAAATAAACTTTACTTAATTAATATAATAATTTTCTGACTCATTAACTGAATAAATATAATGTACTTCATAAATGTGTTTGATTAGCAAGACGATGAACTTTGGTGTAGCACAGTATGTGTGTAGATTGTCAACTTAAAATGATGAGACATTGTTGACCCATAACATGTAAAGCTGTTGAATTTCCCTCAGATATTAAGATCTTTAGGTATTATTTTAAATGTAAGTATAATCTTTGTTGTTACGGGGTAAGTATAGTGATGAGTTCCATACTTGTTCATTTATTGGAAGACAATTGAGTAATACATGTCGGTTCGATGTTAAGACAGAAGTTGATATTTAACTAAAAAGCTAATAGTATTGCAAATTAGTAGGAATATACTGGTTAAATGGCATACACATGATATGTGTGTAAAAAGCTATAAAGTATGGATAACTACGAAAATGATTTAACACCCCAAACGCCCTGGTACAACAGAGAGGAGAGGGTCAGCTCTCCTTTCGAAATGCTCTTATATGGCCACGTGCATACGACTACCATAGAAGTCCTATTCACTTCCTTCTCGTGGCCGAGGTGTTGTTTACGAGATCGAGAGGACGAAAAGTGAATATCCGGCGCTTCAACCGGGTTAGTCCATCTAGGGGAGTTGGAAGACTTTGATTCCAAACCAATGGTGTATAAGGGCTCCAAAATCCTAAGGGAAAAATGGCGTATGAACCTATTGTAGGTCACCGGCTACCACGGGACTGCATCTCCTTGCATTGCTCCACTGTATTGTGGATTAGACCTCTAGGCCAAAGGTTCGGGGTGTGGCCCCCTAGGAAAACCATCTGCTTCGGGGTTTGGGCACCCGCGTATTATCCCAGACCTCACACAAATCGGACGATTTATGTGGCGCGCGTATATTTGGTGCTTCCTTGTACAAATATTTATGTGATGGAATAAATAAATAAACTTATCTTTAGAACGTAGGCTATTACTACGGCTGTTTAGAAGAATATATGTTTTATATAAACGAATAGAGATTTCGAACCTACCACTCTTAAGTGAAGTTCCCTGAGTTTTTCCATATACTTTGAGGACACACTGGCCCCGGTTGTGGACATCTTTAGTCTATATAAACGAATAAATAAAATTAATAACAATTATCACTACAGAGTTTTGACTTGATTATTTCAAATAAATGGATGATTAGGTCTTTCATTTATAATATAAGAGATACCTTGACTCAAATAACAAAACATTCACATGATTGGACGGATTACGATTACATTGAATGTTCTACCTTGTTCTTTCGTACCATGTAAACTTGAGTTGATTTAGTTCAGGAATTTATGTATTTTCTAGAGAAGAAACTTACACTTTGCTGTTAGACATCAGAAATCCAGTTTACTAACCAACAGCATATTACAAACAAACTGTTATTACCATAAAATTAACAGACATGCGCCCTGATATGCTTTATTTGAACAAGAAACTGTCTCTGTAGTGTGTTCCATTTTGAAAGCCCAGTTGGATCAGATTAGTGTGAGAACAAAGCATACAAAGCTAGTCAAAATCCAGTCAAAACAACTAGCAAAAATATCCGTTTTATTAAAATGTCTATTCATACACTTGAATGATAAAATGAAGTATCCCAATGATCAATCTAAGCCATTGATCTAGAAAAGAATTGAAAGATTGAAACGCACGCGTAAGATGACATGATAAGTTACCTTTCGTATAAAATAGCCTAACAAGACAGATATACTACCAGATTGTAGAAGAAACTGTACATAGACGTCTGATGCAGGAAATAACCTATTTGATCAGTTACTGACGTCGAAATCCTGACTGAGGATGACAACAAAACACTGGAAGCGCTGAAAAACACCTGTTGCCAATGAGAGCTGAGAATTATGTGATGCAGAAAGAAAAATGAAGACAGAAATCTTTACATCACACACGTTTTTATTAAAACTGAATCATAGTCGTCATTTGGCAGGAATAAGGGAGCACCATTAGGCACAACTTACAATCCGAGACCAATAACATGGTACAATCAGAATACCAGGGATTTTCTTAATCACTTAAAATGAGAAAGTCATTTAGTTTGAACGAGAGCTTTTTCTGGAGTTCACTTCGAGTAGAAATGCTCGAAATCTATCGTATAGGAATAAATAAAACGAGGGGAATTTATCGGGAATAATCGCCTAATAATAAAATATCCTAAGTTACTATCTCGAGGACTTATACGATGTAAACAAATGAAGCCTGAGTTATATCATCCGAACGACGAGAACCAGCATCTGAAAGAGCTGTGTAGGTTCGAACTTTGAAAGACCTTATAAATGCCACAAATATATCCAGGGATTCACCTGAACTCCAAGTAAAATGGAGACAATTGTGTATATGTACCATTCTTTGAGTGAACTGATGTCTGCCTGATATCCTACTTTAAGGTAGTCTTTTTAAAAAAATCAGTTATATGCGAAATATACGACGTTATCTGTATGAAAGTATGAAGACTTAAAGGAGTTAGTTTAACCTTACCAATATTTATAATTGCTAATTAACTACCGGCACATCTAAAAGCCTTAACTTTTTAATTCAACCTTAATTAACTATAATTTGTACCATCAATATGAATTTAGAGAAGGTTCAAATTGTTAGTACACAGCCTGTTCTACATATATATAGTAAGAAAAACATCCCCTAAGGTTTTTTTTTAGTTGATATATAATGTGAATATGAAATCAACCTTCATTGAAAAGCACAAACAATGTTTTTTATTACCACGATGTAACTTGAATGTTTTCAGGAGGGACTCTGTAACCAATAAGTATGTCTCAGTAGATGAGAAAAGTAACGCACATTACAAAAAACGCCATGACTGTTTGTACAGTAAACAATATCTTTCGATTCGAATCAGCGTCCAATAATAAAAATATGAGATCACATGTCTATGTCAGTCGCTGAATACTTTTTCACGTACGACTTTTTAATACAGAATGTTCGTAGATTGATCAAAGAGTACTTTGTTGAGAAAGACGTTACAACGTGCCTAGAAAAAAGGAATTTTACTCCAAATTCGTGAACCCTCTTCCGATAATTTTAAGACTTTGACGTGATGTGATGCAGACAATAATATGTGAAACGTAATTCTATTGCGTTCTACGGAAAGTGAATGAGGATAAGGCATTTTTCGCCCTAATAGGCACATTTTGGTAAGGTCATTGAATAACGTAGTACTCACTTTTTTGAAACATTTGAGAACATCAGCATTTTAAATAATATCTCAAATATTTGATTGAATCCTTTGATTTATTATGATCTTAGGTGCATGTGACATAAAATGCGAAGAAAAGCTTCCTTAATTGATTCAAAGTTTTCGGAAAAGCGCTAAGGCTTCCGGAATAGCTGGATCGCTATATAGTCGTTTTTAAGCCATGAACTAAAATCTAATCAAGTCTTTGTCCGCTTCAGTTTGAGGGAGTGGCATCACAGTAATGGTGGACCAATGAGTACTTGTTAAATCAGTGTAGTTGAACTTCAGTACATTCACACACAATGGATGGAATGCTCGCCTAACTCTGACTTGGCACTTAGTCATGTGGTTCGGAATGGAGATCATGCTTAAGGCGATCACTAACTTTTGTTTCTATCATCGCATGCAAAAAAGTACCGAATATTGTCATGTCATTTCATTTATATAGTTAAAATATTAGCGGCCTTAAGACAATATTTTCTTCCAAGTGGCGTGGTATCTATTTACTTCTGCCGCTTATCTTCGACAAAGGAGAAGGTTTTCTAACCCAACACTATGTTTGCTTATAACCATGAATTTAGAGTGCTTCTTTCTATGTCCTGCTTAACTTCTGATCTTGTGGTAAAAATTAGTACCACAATAATGTATTACGTCAAAATACAACTGTATGTTGATGACATATTAATGTAGATCACCAACGTAGATGATCTATGTCGAAAATGATTGGAGGCCTACTCGAGTCAGACGTGAATGGTGTGACAAACTAGCTAATGTCGAAGTCACACCTCGTGGTCAGCACCTTACATGGACTACCCCATTGACGTATCAAGGTACCATAGATGCTTTGAAGACTGTACAACATAGCGGACGTTATTACAGAAACATATTAGTTGAGGTAGATACAAGCGAAAGTAAGACCACTGCCACATGGGCCAGTCCATGGCATACGATTAACTGATGCGATTTGGCCGCCCCTGACCTTGACGAGGATCGACGATCTGCCCGATATTCAATGACCCAACTGCCGGATGATTCGGATAGGGCTTAGTGACATTTCGCTGGCCCTACATAGGTATGTGTTTATCCAGCTTCGACTATATAAACAAGGGAAATTTTAAGTGGGACCTTGAATACAAATGTTTTTCAAAACATATTCAAGTGGTTGTATTAATTAGTGTTGATAAGATATTACGGGTCATTAGAATATTTATAGATTGCAATACTATGAGATAAATAGAATGTTTAACATAACGGGTTTAATCTTCATTTGCTAGAAGGGATTCCAAACTTCTCGGGAGATGTCGGAATTTCCTATTTTTGATCTAGTCTTTCAGATATCTAACGTGAATGAAAACCGCTGTGACTACCATAAGTTGTACCTCAGGAAAATTCTTATTGAACTGCTTACGATAACAGTGATTAGGAACATTTTTTCTTTATCTCTTGGATAATACGGTAGTATGCTAATGCGATAAAAAGACTAGTCACGTAATTTCAGAACCAGGAGTCACGACCCAAAATGGAAAACCAGATAACAGATAGTGCTTTATTCAATAAAATTATGGTCAGTCACGCTAGGTGATTCCAGTGTAGAAATCATTGGCAGACAGGGAAATGACATACCTAATAATCTGTAGATGATCGTTGTTTGTCGGCGCTATATGGTCAATCACATTTTTATTTTACTACCAAACATCAAACAGTGAGTCAAATAATCACTGTGAATAAATATTGTATGATTAAATGGCTTCGTAGATCCCCAATGTAGACTATCTTTGTCGAATGATTGTGGGCTTACTCGAGCTAGACGTGAATGTTGTGACTAACAGCTAACCTCAAGGTCATACCTCTCGGTCAGCACCTTACATGGATTACCCCTTCGCCGTATCTAAGTATTGTGGATGCTTTGAAGACTGTCCAAACAAAGGACGTTATTATGGGAATATATTAGTTGAAGTAGGTACAAACGAAAGTATGACCACCACCGTATAGGTTGGTCCATGGCGTTTGTTTGTCTTCGACCATGAAAAGAGCCGAGGATCTGTCCTATATTCTGTGACATAACTGCCGAGTGATTTGGCCAGTGCTCAGTGACATTTCACTGGCCCTACCATTTCTTGGCACATCAGCTTGTACTCTGCAATAAGTATAGATTCAGTAACCACCAACAAACTGCAACCGACCTATCAACGGGATTTCGAAGAGGTCAGACCACAGTCAAGTAACAATACTCCTTAGCAGTTAATAAGTCCCCCAGGCAAATAGGTCAGTAAATCTTCAACATTGGTGCCAACCGTATGGGTCTTACTAGACAGTCCCTAGCTGAAAGCGCCCAGTGTGAAGTCGCCAATTCGTTGGAGAGACAGTCAGACGCCATCCCGCTTAGACAAGGTATTTATAAACGAAGAATTTCCAGTTGACAACCTCTCAATCCTGGCTTACCTGGGGAGAAGCGATCACGCGCTCATAGCCTTCAGTTTCATTGGCAAAACTGAGCTAAAACTAACCACCAACAACAGGCGCTGGGATTTCAAACGGTTGAATGTGTCAGCTTTACAGAACTATCTACAACAGGTGGATTGGAATGTTCACCCTCAACTTGACATGGATAGTCATTAGGATTTGTTACTGCACACAATCTTATGTGCTACAAAACGGTCTGTTCCTCAAATGATCCCCAAAATCTACAAGCAACCTACAATCATCAAGGAGCACACTCTTCGCTTTCTAAGCCACAAAGGTACTGTTGGGCAGAATAAAAAGGAATTGATAATAACGGCGTGTACAGACAATACAAAACTATAAGGAATATATGCACAAAGGTAATAAGAGAAGACAGACTTCACTACCAAATAAAGCTTATGGATAAATTTTTCTCCAATTCGAAAAATTATTCCGTTATGGAGCCTCTCTTCGACAAGACAAAACTGGAGTTTTCCAAATGCTAGGTATCAGTGGTTTGATCAGCGACGACGGTGACGTCGCTAACCTTCTGGCTGAACATTACTGTCAAACATTTCAACCGACCCACATGAACTATATTAATGAAATGCGCAGGACCTTCCGAAGTGAACCTGATCGCTGACTTGGTGTTACGGAACCTGCAGCATCTAAGATAAGACGCTAATCCTGACCCGTATATGGTTCATTCCGCTATACTGAGAGGAGCAGCTTCAATCCTGGCAACACCACTTAGCATGATGA